GGACGTGTTTGGACGTGTTTTCCAGGCATGACGGAGATCGAGAAGCAGGTGATGCTGAAGCTGAAGGAGGTGGTGGACAAACAGAGGGACGAGATCCGGGCCAAAGACCGCGAGCTGGCTCTGAAGAACGAGGACATAGAGGCAGTAAGCCCCCCCCCTCGAGTCTGACCCGGTCCCTACATATCTGAGACCAGGAGACATTAATTAGGAGCCAGAGCCGGGTGGCTGGCCTGATCTTTTTACGTTGTACAAGACACATAAAAGGCCTCATGCTCAGAAAAGGTCAAAGGTCACCAGTTAGGACACCCAGTTCCTTTTCAGAGAGGTCGAGTGGTTTAGGTTCACACAGACAGACGACGTGTGAGAGGACGATCAGAATAAGTAGGGGAGTGATGATGGAAATGGGGATTTAAATCTGCTTTAATCAGAATCAGAATCAGAATAAGGTTAATTGCAAAGTCGGTTTTTGACTTACAAGGAATTTGCCTTGGTGTTTGGTGCACAACACTTCTATGAGAAGCAAGGAAATGCAATGTAAAATACAAATATAGAACAGAAAATATAAAACTAAAAAGTACAATCTTTAAAGATATAGATCTGAGGATAGAAATATGGATATAAGACTTAAAGATACAATATTGAATATTAAATTACAAATATAAAAAGTATGTATACAGGTGTGAATGAACAAATCAACAATTGAAATGTGCAACGACAGACCAGAAAATGCTGACAGTAGCATCGTGTACATTAGTGAGATGGGGGGGTGGGAGAAGAATAGGGGGGGGGGGGGGGGCAGGCGCGTTGATGGGTTGCTGGTGGAGAGAAACTATCTTTATGGCGTGAGGTTTTGGTCCTGATGGTCCTCAATCTTCTGCCAGAGGGCAGAGTTTTAAAAAAGTTTGTGACCAGGGTGAGAAGGATCAGAAATTAGCTGTTAGCGGCTGATTCTACCAAAAGACACATTTACTAGCAAACATTTGGGATCCATGGAAGGGAAGTTCAAATTTTGAGTAAAAAATGTGAAAAATCAGACCAAAACCTGAATATTTAGAACTGAGATTGTATATTATAGCTCTATTTCTACTTACAAACACATTTACTAGCAAACATTTGGGATCCATGGAGGGGAAGTTCAAAATTAAAGTAAAAAATGTGAAAAATCAAACCAAAACCTGAATATTTAGAACTGAGATTGTATATTTTAGCTCTGTTTCTACTTACAAGCAAACATTCGGGATTTAACTCCATTTGTATATAGACGACTATAGCCATTATATATATATATATATATAGTCATTGACCCCCCCGCCCCCCCGCAGCTCCAGCAGCAGCAGTCCCGGCTCATGAAGATAAACCACGACCTGCGGCACAAGATCTCGGTGGTGGAGGCCCAGGGCAAGGCGCTGATCGGGCAGAAGGTGGAGCTGCAGGCGGGCGCCCAGACGCAGGCGCAGGAGGTAGGCGCCCTGCGGCAGGAAGTGGCCCGCCTCCGGGACCGGCTGCAGGGGGACGGGCCCCGCCCCGACTCAGAGGAGCCCCGGCCTCTGCCCCCCTCCCCCGCAGAGGTAAAGACCCCCCCACCAGGGACAGACCCACAGACAGAGTATCAGGACAAAAATACCCTCGGGTCGTATTTGTTTCCATTCTTATGATATTTAATCCAAAGTAACAGAGTGAGTGAATTTTCTCCTGATTTTAAGGGTTGAAAGATTTTATTCTTATTTAATCTGTTTATTCAGATTAGAAATACAAGGATCCACTCTTTATTATCTTGAGAGGCTTTAGAACAACACTAAATTGTTTTTGAATTTATGTACAAAACAACATGAACAAAAATCTAAACCTTTGTAAAACAGCTTAACAGGTCCATTTTCTAAAGCCTCTCCTCTTTATTGTATAATTCTGAACTAATTCTGCAGCAACATTATGAGAAAGAATCCAAAGCCGACGTCATACATCAGTATTTTGTGAAGGTGCAGACTCAGGATTGTGTTTCTGTGTCCAAACTGTACCATCAGCCTCTAAAATATTTTTCCAGTTCATTTTGAACCATCCAAAGGAAAATAATCAGCATAGTTTTCTATGGAAATGAAAATCATTTCTCATAGGTTTTGACATTAAAACTCCTGAAAAGTGGCTCATAAAACTTCAAAGTGATGCAAACATTTGACGCAATGATGCAAAATTAGATTGATTAGCTTTTTATCAACCGGCCCTACAACAATATGATATAAAATAGTAAAATGACCTGGATGACAGCTGAATGGACACAACCCTGATTAGAGGGTCAAAGCCTGCTTTCTTGTATCCTTTTTTCTACACTTTCACGGA